AAAACCCCTGAGACCTAATGGAGGAGCCACCGTGCAAGCACGCATGGACGGCGTGGCAAGGCGCGGCGGCGCGGCGCGACGTGGGCCATATGCCGTGTACGTGGGGAGCAGTAAGAAGTGGGTCAAAAATCGAGGAAGCATACGAAATAGTCGGAATACGGGGTGAGGTGCGGGTCAAGGTCAGAGTACGGTAGATCGTCCTTGGTCATTGAACCAGTCTAAGATGAAGTCAGGGTACGCTCCCTCTCCCTTGCCCCCGCCCCCGCAGAGTGCGGTCCCCCTTCACCCCCTCCAAGGGCTTCCGACACCAAGCCCCGAGTCACCGCGTGCTCGCTCATGCCCGCTGCCGCCTCTTCGCCGGCTCCCAATGATGTAGATGTCGCTGGTAACCGGTGAATGTGAAACTGAAGCACCCACCATGTATGCTTCTTTGTCAACATTTCACGCAGAATGCATTGAATTCCTTGATAAAAATTCCAAAATCAGCATGCACCGACACGTGAAAAAATTGCGTCTAAAATTTACATTTGTATCAATGATTGGAATAATTGATACAGGACAAAGTCAGTGGCACACTGGAAAAAAGAACACATTGGATCTAAAGTCCAGACTCTTGAAAACATTGACAAGAAAAAATACTCTTGATTCAATCAGATTTTTGCTTAAATCAAAAGGAAATCCACTCAAATTAAGAGGCTTGGTTCTTGATTTAAGCAAAAATCTGATTGAATCAAAAGTATTTTTTCTTGTCGATGTTTTTAAGAGTCTGGACTCTAGATACAATGTGTTTTTTTTTTTCAGTGCACGAAGAATTTGCGGGTGTCTGAAATTTGATGCATTTCATATTTAGTTAGAAACTGCTGACTGAACAAAGTTCGAGAATATCCTTGTGTCTAAATTGAACAATTATTTGAGGAGTTATGATCAAATGATTGAATGTGAAAAAATTCATGTATTCAAACGGGAAATTCCGCCTGGTGAATAAGTCACAAGGCGGTACATTTTTTCACTCTTAAATCTATTTTCCTACCATTTCCCATATCAGAAAAAAATATAAAAAAATACCGCGTACTTGGCTCATGGGAGCACGGGCTTTAGGAGATGAAGCAATCAAAAAAATTTGTGCAAATTCTATACCGCGCAACACTCGATATATGCGCATTTTAAGTTCAAAATTACGTTCCATAATGCGAACAACAAGATAACGCAATGAGACTCTTGCTATATTCAGCACAATGACCTGTTTTTTTCTATTCGAAATGTTAATGATCGAAGATCGCAAGTGGAGAGGCGTGTTTCCATGACGCAATGAGGGGTGCTTTTTCAAAACGCTTAAAATCGGGCAGTGTGAGATTGATTTGGTGTCATGCTCACGAGACAGGTATTCCGAGGGGACAAAATAGGTAGTTCGAGAGTCAGGATATGGGCAGCAGTAACGGGACCGACAGTATGCTATTCAGCGCAGCAATTAGTCTGCTCAGATCGAGCAGGAAATGCCGTCTATTTTGCATAAACGTGCGCCTAAGAGTCAAATATTTACTACTCCCAATGTGGATGGCCATTTCTTTGCCGGGGCTTTGTTTCTAAATGAGCGCTCTACGTTTGCGCTCCACTTTTCTTCCGATGAAATCGTAACCTTTGGGCCGTATTATCGTCTTAATCCCTGTTGTCATTTACGCACTGAAAAGGAACGTAAAGGGCAGTTTTGATTCGCTAAATTTCATGTTTTATCTTATTAAACCAAAACTAAGAATTTTTATGAGGTTAAACTTTTTGTAAGTTTTCCCCAGACTTTGGAGCATTGGATTACATTTTGCAATAAGGAACCAGTATCTTTGGCTCTCCCATAAAAGCATATATCTGCATAGGGAAACCAATGGCATGTACGTTGTTTCTAAAATGAGCAAGAAATAGTGGTTCCTTATTGCAAAATGTAATCCAATTTACCAAAAGAATATCAACGCAGACTTTGTCTCGGTTTCCTGTTGAAATATGATAAAGTGAGAAAAATAAGGGCAACGTGTAACTCTGACGGAAGCCGATTAACTCATTGCGGAGTGATTTTCCGTTCATTTTAAAACTTTTTAAAATAAAGCAAAATTTGAAAGTTCAATAATATGCAGCTTAATCAATTCATTCTACATTGCCGCACAGCTTAATCTGCAAATTACCGACTTTCCATGGCACGGATTACACCTACGCAACTTGCACTGCGGCGGGAAACAACACGACGAAACATTGAAATTAAAATCCCTGGTAAAAATTGGCAGTGGAATCGGTGTTCCAAAATACCATAGACCTAAAGCCGGCTGTAAGACTTCCAATAGCCTCTGTAGCCGGCTATACAATGTCTTTCACCATTTTATAGCCGATGGCGACTAAGCAACAGCCAGACGAAAAAGTTGATGCTAAACGTTACTAAATACGGATACTAGGACTTACTTAGTTTTTGGACTACCACTCTCTTTTTGTGCCGCAGTATCTTGATTTATTTTGCGAGGAATGCTCCTTACTTTTGAAGGATGCCTGTCATTCTTAATATGTTGGAGCGCCTTCAATTTCTTATGATACCGTGCAATACCTCTGGGGTGAAATAGTTGCTTCAAGCGCCGTGGCACGCTGCGGCGCGGCAAGCGGGCAGCCGGCGCGAAACGCGCATTGGCGCCTACAAACCTAACAGGGATACTTCACGCGTTGCGCAATGCGTGAAGTATCCTTGTTAGGTTTGTAGGCGCCAGTGCGTCACCGCTCCGCTTTGTGTTAGGCTGTAATATTTAATTTGGCGGAGTCAGCGTTATTCAACTCATGATTTTGAAATGTTTGCACATTCTGTATGGATTAGTCTCATTTCAATTGATGAAAAAAAAATATGTATTCATGAAAAATATAATGTGTGTTTTGTAAATAATAAGGTGGTTCCGTATCAAACTTAATGATTTCCAAAGCACACAAATTTCTACACAATTTCTTATAGCCTTTTATAGCCAATGGCGATGAAGTGTAAAGCCCAGCGATAGGAACTATAGCCCGACTGTATACTTTTTTATAGCTTCGTATAGCCCGGCTATATGATTTGCTCCGCTTTCTACAGCCAGCTATTTGATTTTCAAAAGCCTTTTTTAGTCGGCTATAAGAACTCCTATGGTATATTGAAACGCAGCTCCTATCGCCAATTTTTACCAGGGATTCGTCTTCCGATACAGTTTATGGCTCAACGGAGAGGCGGCTACATTATCCGCTAAAAGTGGTCCATTTGCAGATATCGAGCTGGAGTTGGTGACCAACTTGAATAAAACTAGAGCCGAGCAACTTGCATTGAAACCTAAAAACAATGATGGACCTATCGAGTAATGGGAATGATAATTGACAATGCAAACTGCCTGGCGTGAATGATTGCCCTGCGGATTGTGGACGGAGGTAGAAAACAAAAGAGATGATGCCGCAAGAAGAAGAATACGTCTGAGATGAGAGAATAACCAAGAGTGGGAGCAACCAGCGCAACGTTTAGCGAAAATGGACCATATTTAATATGTCAGAGAAGCAGTCCCCCCCTTGTCGAGCATTTTTAGGGGGGCCATGGAGTGGGGGGGAGGGAGGACTCGCAGTCGATTTGCATGCTTAAAGACATTCTTTGAAATTTTTTTAAATCCAACATCTTTTAAACACAATTTTAGCCTATCAACGCTCGAATTTTCTCTTGCTTAAAATGATAGTTAAATCTGATGCATCGATGCAACCCTGTTCTAAGTCATTGGTCGAGCAACATCGCACCGTACATTCCATGCGACCAGACTTGCTTTTACTTTTCTTATGCTGTCACCAATTGTGTTACAGGTTTACAACACAATAAAACACGGGGGCATACCATAAACTTGCCCGGGACGGAATAGATCCATGCTTTATGCGTTCTATCCAAGCAGCGAAGAAGGCGCTCGAGGAATCTGGTCTTCCGTTCTCGCAGGACTGAGATCATAAAATACTCGAGCCGGGGGAACACCGATGAAAGATGTTACGTTGAGTTACTTCAGTCGAAAAAGCCTCGTTAATTGGGGATTCGAAAATGAGAATTTTACCATCGGCGTGACTCACGTGGTTAGAAAATGAAAAATTATTCTTGGAAGTAATTGAGCCCACGCTTTCTGTGGGTTAATGTGAAATAGTTATTTCTTGGGGAAAAGAAAACAAATTTAAATAACGAAATAAAACAAAATATCGTCGCGACACGACGCGACGCACTGTCGAAAGCCTCCGGCTTCGACCATTTCAAATGCTTGTAGCTGTGTTAACAAACATCAATGTGGTTTAATAATTATAACTTCCGCCGCCGTGCCGCGCTGACCACACTGTGTTTGGCGCAATGCGTGTAGTATTCATGTAGTCTTGTAGGCACTGTGCGTTTCACGCCGCGCCGACCGCTGTTGACCGTACTGTGTTCGACGCAATGCGTGAAGTATTCATGCAGTCTCGTCGGCGCCAATATGTGTTACATGCCGACCGCTGCGTCGAGGGCTTCTCCTTTTCATCTCAAGTCCTCGTCATCGTTTCTCTTTGCGCCGCGCCGCTCCAGGCCAAATTACGTGTTTGGTTTCTCTCTTAACTCAACTAATTAAAGGGGCGCAGTCTCTTGTGTCACCGAAATACGACAAAATTAGAAATTAATGGACTCTCAGGAAATGAGAGACTTTGTCACCTTTTCTTGTTTGTAATTTTTTTTTCTGAATCCGATTCTTTTGTACCTGCAATAAAAAAAATTGCAAAATTTGCCGCCCCCTAATTTTGGCGCCATGGGCCGCGGCCCATGTGGCCACCCCCTTAATCCGGCCCTGCATGCCCTGTTATTAATTTGGAGCCTGATAAATTAGTCACGTGTTGGTGAAGGCCAATGGTTTAATAACTATCAGACTTGCCGAGAGCTTCAGATTCATGAATAAACGAATAAAATGCTACCCTTAAGCATTGTTACTTTTTTCTGTTACAGAAAATAAACATGAAGCAAAGACGATTACTGATACTTCTCAGCGCTTTCTGGGCTACCGTGTCTGCGGCAGTCGACGTGAAAACGCAGGACTTGGACAGCGAAGACGTAGATGGTCCTCCTTTCAATTTCACATCCTCTGAGCACCTTCAACTTGAGGCGCGAGACTCCGACCCAGGAGAGGACGGCATCGTGAAACAGGTAAATCCACCAACAATGGTCATGACTAATGACCAGCCTAGTCACTTTTACGGCTTTAACAACGGCGAACCCTTCATCCTCGAAAAAATCCCCGAGACGAAAAGCGACGCGACCAAAGGCACGACGCTATCCTCCGGCTTAGGAGATTACTATGAGGACATCGAAGGAGATGACAAGCACGTCATCGTCAAGGACAACAAGAACTATAAGCCAGACTCGATTGATCGGAAAGACAACGTCCATAAATATTATCGCCCGAACGACATTCCATCTAATCCGTTCAAAATCACGTCCGACCTGCATCAATTCTTGAACCTACCAGTGCACTATAGCACGAGCGACAAGTTTCCCCTAATTTCGAACTCGTATGCCAACATGAAAATTCAGGGAACCGGCTCCAATCACAAGCAGTCCCCGTCAACATCTTCGACAACGTCAACCGTATCGCCCTCCTATTATACGATGAAACACTCGCCAACTTCCGACCGAAGTACTACGCCTGTAACAACGCTGAGGTCAACCTCAAATCAGTTCACCACTTCGACGACACCATCCACCACAGAATCCACCACAGTCAGGCGACTAACCACCACCACCGCTGCCACCACAACAACATCTAAGAGACCATCCTCAATTTTCGATTTCGAGGACCTTGCATACTCAGACTATGATTACGACACGGCTGGATCATCCAGTTATCCACAAAAACCACCCATAAACGAGTACGATCAACCGATTGTAAAACCTACCAGTCCCAAATCGACCACGATGACGGAGAATTTGGAAATCAAAACTTCCGAGTCCACATCAACCACAACTACGCAATCATCAACAACCACAACCACCACAACCGAAAGCCCACCAAGCAGCACTAGACTGACATCCTCTTATAGCGCTGCGGCCTCGACGACAAGACCAAGCACCACAACCACAACTACAACCATGGCGCCAACTACAACCACGACACCGAAGGTCAGCATCGTAACGTCTTTACCCATCGATAGCAGTAATGCTTATTACATAAGTCAAGGGGCCAGTGGGTTCTCTAAGGCTAGTGAGGGCACTGAGAAATCTACGCAGTCTACCCGTGTGACTGAAGAAAACAAGATTCATCAACAGGCAACTACTTACTCGGGTCCCCAGTACCACGCTGTGAACAATAATCGAGATGGACAACAGAATGAGAAGCCAACGGTGCTCTTTAATTTTAACGGAGGCGATGAACCGTTCCGACCCATCCACAACCCGGAACACTACCAGCCGAAGAATAGCAGTCAAAGACCCGTTCAGACTCAGACAGAGGATAGCAATTACTACTTATCCACACTAAATCCCTACCAGACGGGGGTAAAAAAGCCAGTCCCTCCTCATATTCCTATGAAACCACCAGGTTCGGAATTCATTGCATTGCCAAATGGACCACTCAGAGTGCCACCAAAACCGGACCACATGTTCCAACAGAAACCTATGCATCAAGCACAGATGAGTCAAATTAATCAGCAATATCGACCCCTCAACAACGGCCCTCATTTCCCTCCATCCACGAAACCTAATCAAAACAAGTACAATATGTCCTACCACACGCCACCTGAATTGCGGCCTCCAAGCGCTCCCGTCAAGAAAACAGAGGGCTCCTCGACTACAAAATACCAAAACGCGGAAGATCTGACATTCGTCAATATGAAACCAGGTAAGCCACAGCAAAATATCCAAGTTCCTCCGGTGAAACAATCCGATATCGTTCAAGGTCACCCAATGGGGAACATAGGAGAAAGTCAGAGCTACTCTCTGCAAACATCATTTTCGATCGGAGTTCCTGACAACGAAAATTCCGCCTCATCAAATAACATTCGCCCCGCACAAGGTATCGGTCAAGTTTTACCAGCCAACGACGAGACCGAGGCAACAAGACCTGGACAGGTACTCAACACGCAACGCTTAACTCAAAGTGTTCGACCAGGAATGGTGCAACAGTTACCCAGTAAGCCCGTGGCTCCCAACAGACCTCCTCAAGACCACAGTAGGCCACAAAATAAACCAATTCAAAGGCATCCTTCTGGCTCACCGCTACCAGTTAGGCCTCCTCCAAATAATCGTCCACCACAAATGTCAGACGCAAAGCCACAATCACAAGGAAATTACCCCCGACCTCACTGGGAATCTCATTCAGGAAAACCGCAATTTATGAATGGTAACAACCAAGTTTCGGCAGGGCCGAATCAACCAGGACCAATTCACGGGAAAGAAAAACCTCAAGGTCAGTATTACCCCATGAACAGAGGGAAGCCAGAGGTTGACAACAAGCAACCACTCCCTAACATTCTACCTCAGTTTAGACCGAATGCCAAAGTAGGCACGGCCGAATACCCGCCACATGGAAATCATCCTCAGTACGGTCCGAATCATCACCCACAGATGGAAAGACGAAGAGAACCCACAGATAAGCTGAGACCTCCACCTTTGCCGAGACCACAATTTCTTCGAATCAATAGGAATGATGACGAAAATTCAATGGTTGATGAGGAAATCAGAGAATCGTTATTATACCCAGAAAAAGAGTCGAGGACTAACCAAAGACCGAGCATGAATGCACAACAACCGAGTAGAGTTACAACTTTACAAATGATGCAACACGGGTCTGCATTTGCCCCACAACGACTAGTTCGAAATGAGGAAACACTCGAGACTAAAGCAGGAGATAAAAAGCCTGTGCACTTAGTTTATCCAATGACCGGAAAAACCTCCCAACAAAAGAACGAGGGAGTCGTCATAGTGGGCGTAAAGGGACCTCAAAGGCCTCTCCCACCGCCTGACCTAGACCTGACCGACGATGATCAATCATTTCCAATGGTAGACAAGCAAAAACCTTTTCCCCTGCCTGCCAGAGACCGACCCGACACACCTATCCTCAAAACCAAACTGAACATCAAACCCATCAAGAACGATTTCCCGTACCCATTAGTCAAGCCAAACGCTAATGCAGGGAATGAAGACACTATCAATAACGAAAAGAAATACCACGAGCTAGCACAAAACAATATAAAACCGGACAGCAATAGCATCAGTGAGTACACAGCGTACAGTCCAACCAAACGGACGGACATCGATGTCGAAGATGACATGACCAAGTTAGCCGATGAAGCTGTGAACTTGATTCCTTACCTACAGGACTACATGCCTTACGCTACGAAGAAGCCACTGGTCAAAATCCCGACCAAATCACCTGTTTACAAGAAGGACCCTCTTCCAGACTGGGCAAGTGAGAAGTACGAGTCCAACAAACCTATCAGCGTCACGCTCACCAACACACCAGCCGAAGAAGCAGCGACGGAAAACCGAACTTCAGATATGTCGACGAGGCCCTCCGAGCCATTCTATTCGGGTCTCTTGCAAACGGAGGAGAACAAGCGCGTCGCAGTGATCAACAAGAACTCGAACGGAAACGAGTACACCCTCTCAACGATCATGCACACCCATCCGACCCAACAGAAGGAGTCCATCGAGTACGAGCCGATCTCGAGCTCGGGCAGTTACTCCTCGGGCAGCTTCAACCACAAACCCCAAACACCGGACTCGGTGCCGCAGTCGGTGAACCTAGAGGCACCGTTCCAGGCGAGCATCAGCGCGCCGCAGCACGAAACACACGGATGGAGCGTCATAGGAAGTATACGACGGCCCGAGGACGAGCTCGACAGGAGCGACTCCAACCACACCGTCCACCAAACGGAGGCTCAGACCGAAGAGTCCACGTTCGACTTCGACAACTTCAAACCGCAGCTCATGGGCGGCTTCAAGCCTATCCTCCCACCCTCAGCCGAGGACACTGCCATGGAGACGGAATCCGATATCAAAATAGACTCGGAGGAAGCCAAGTCATAACGCTCATTCACCTCTTCGCCGTAGAAATAATTCCGACGCCAAAGTAGCTTTCTTACCGAACCAGCTCCTGCCTGATCCGTCCAGGTAATCGCAACATTCGATACTGCGGGATTATGTGAGCCACATTCCATTAAAAAAACTTATACCTACTGTAGGTGCTGTAGTGGCGGGTTCTTCAAGCATACCATCTGTGCTGGGTTTAAAGGCCGTAAATCTAGGATTCAAGATCCCTTCAGGGCCGGATTTAGGATATTTGGCCTAACAGGCGCAGTCCGTGGTGCGGGCTTCTCTTAGGTGCATCTCCCCGGAGGAGGAGAGGACACTAAGGGATGAACACTTTCAGTTAAGGCGAGTCCAAGGGGCCTCCTTCGATGATGTTTTAACCCCTCTTAAACGCAATTCAAGGCGTTTTTTGAAAGGTACTGTAAGGGAGATAAGAGAGGGGACATCCTGTGACAACTGTAAGCCTTTGAGAAACAAGTGAATGTACTATGGTCGAGAAAAAATTAAAAATTAATATATTGGAGAGGGAGAAAAAAGAGACTTTTTGATGCAGGCCCCTGTGCGCTCGCCTAAACGGTAAATCTGGCCCCGCGGAGTTCCGGCTGCTACAGCCGGAGAATTTGAAGCTACGGCTCCCAAGTCGAGAAAAACAGTCTCTGGACCTGTGACAGATGGTATGTCTTCGTATCCTGGAATCACGGCTTTCAGGCTCGGAACTTTTTTTCAGGGTTTAACAGTCGCGGAAGAGACCTGCAACTCGTCATATTTGTTGCCACGAGAAGGGTTGGTGTACATTTTCAAATCGACCGCTCAAAACTATCTTCGGTACTGATTTTCAACTTACTCGTAACTTGCAGAAAAATTTCGAAACGTTTTTTACGATAGTTAAATAGCAGGTGATCATTTAAAAATAAAAACAAATATGAAAAAAATGAGTGATCAAAATTTTTGAAATTCAGTTAAACCGAGAATGAGTCTAACTGTATAATTAAGTAGTACGTAGGATTAAATGAAATGCATAACAGTCTTCATTTCGGAGAAAATATTTTCGGAGTTAGTGGCCTGTCAATAATGTAAATTGTAAAATATCGAGATTTATTGCGTATAAAACATGCGATCAGTTAGTTTAACTGCACACATTAGAGCACATAAAATTTTTAGTAATGTGAAATTAAAATCTCTTGATGATGTGCGCATTTCTTAAAACTTTTTTTCTGAAAGAAAACACTGCTGCTCCTTCGATTCTTAGTTAACGGAATACAATTTTAAATCAAATGACAAAGCAGTAATTACATTTACTTCATACCTATAACTTGAACGCAGAAACACCAAAATTAATTACGAGATTTTTTCTTTTTACTTTCCTTTGAAGATCTGCTCCATTTGGACTGCATTTTGCAATTTGGAACTATAAATTCTGGCTCTTCTGGAAAAGCACTTATGTGCATAGCGAAACTAATGGCACTTACGTTGTTTTTATACCGGGCTAAAATTTATAGTTCCAAATTGCAAAATGTAGTCCACTTATCTGTTTGCTGATGAAAAAGGCACGTCTCTGGTTCTCCTCAATAAGGACTGTTCTAAAAAAATAATAAGCATTATTCGATTTATAGTATGCACGACTGATTTGACTCGAACCCTTGATTTGTCACTCTATTTTTTGTTTCTCTGCTTTCATTATCGAAGATTGGGTTGAAAATGTTTACCATATGTTATTCTAGGCTATTTTGAGTTGATAACCATAAGACTCTCGCCTATTTTAATTCTATATGAATACTCATTTCAATGAAAAGCACCCTGTAAATTATAAATACTCAGTACCCATACTTCATTAGAGAATATTTGTAAAAAATAATAAATAATTAGAATAATTAATAGGTAGGTATTAATTTTTTCGCTGAGTGCTTAACAGGTTTTAGCTTTTATCTGTACTACGATAAGACTGCAATATTAGCAATTTGACGGGAAAGCCTTACCTTGATTTATCTTTGAAATGTAAAAGTTTAGTTGGAATTTTTATAATTTAAAAAGCTCTCTCTGACGATGAATGTAAATAAGATTTTTTTAGAGGTATGCAAATTCTTCGCTCGTTAAAGATGTTATCACCATTAAATGGTGACTGAAATATATCTATGTTAGGAGTGAACATTTGTTATCTTTGTACGTATTTTGTTTTGAAGGTATATAAAATCGTTCAAGAGATCAATTTGAATCGATTCAAATAGAGATCGATGAAGTTTTTATGTTGTGAGTAAATGCTGTTTTCATTGAATGTTATTATTGTAATATCAAGTTTACACTTTTTTGTAGAGACCGATTAGAAAAACAGTAATTTTGTCAAGTTTTAAGATGGTTACAACTCGGTTTCTTGCGTGAATCTTTCCAAAATTTACTTTAAAGAAGATAAGAACGTTACTAAAATTTATTAAAATGACATTTTCGGGCATTGGGAACAAAATGTTATCTCTCTTCTGTTGAGAGTGTTGCTAAGGTAATGTTTGTTTTTATTGAGACTAATTTGTAAATATTTCAGCTAATTTTAAGTTTTATTTATGCAATTTACAAAAGGTACTTTCCTTCTTATTTTTTGTTGTTAAGAAATTAGTTTGTACATAATAAGCCTAAGTTAAATGTTAAGCCGAAAATTTAGTGGAAATGCATCTGAAATTTCGAAACTGAGTCAAATTAAAAATGGAATCTCGCACGAAAAGTCTCTCAGAAAAATGGAAGGCAGGCGAGCATCTTCTTGTTCCGCCATGCTTGAATTAAGTCCAAAAACGTTTCATAGTTCCAAGTGGAGGAGGGAAAAATTCCCCTAAATGTCATCCGTGATGATCTCCGATGAGCTACGGCCCTTAGCAACCCGGAATCGAACAAACCGTTAGTTCGTTTAATGACCTGGTGCATAAATGAGACAACATCACGAAAACTAGTTTGACAAAGATGCAACTGAAAAAAATAGAGATGAAGCTAATTGGATAAACCGAATCAGTCGAGCGCAAATGCAACCGGGAGGGGGGAGGGGGTGGCTAGGTGTGGAAGAAGACACTGGACAGAGGACAAGCCTGCACTGCCGTGCTAAGGAAAAACGCCGTATGAACATTCGAGAGTTGCCAAATTTCCCTTGATAAAACATGTATTTTGGACGACACTCATGCAAATTTTCCTTTGAAATTCTCAGATGTTTTAGACTAAAGTGCGTACAAAATTATCTAAAAATTTTGGAAAAAAATATTCACAATTTTCCCAGTAAATTCAGTTTTTATCGAAGGAAACTTGGCAACGTCTGAAGGTTTATACGGCGTTTTTCCTTAGCACGGCAGTGCAGTCATGCTCCATTTTCACTATTGTGCGTGCGGTTGACCGGTTTATTAACCTAGGTGACGGATCCATCCGCCATAATTTTTGTCCCGTCTCGGCAATCATTTGTCGGAAAAAATTACAAGATTATTCGAGCCACGGTCGGATTGGTGCATTGATGCGCGGCTCACTTACCATTGCCGATTCTCATTGGCCAGTCAGCATAATGATGTCATTAAGAACACGTGCTGTCACAGAATGTCGACTGGTTATTTCTGTTGGATTCAATTCATTTATCAAATGAAACCTTCCATTCAATGTGCTGTTCATGTATTTTCCCTCGACCAATTGGGGCTCAGGGCTCACCCATATGCGGTCTCGTCTGTTAGGTTGATTATATACGTATTTCTGCCGAAAGGAACCTACACTGGAAAAAAAAGAATCTTAAATTTGCCTCCAAGAAGTATTTCTTCTTAAATCAAGAATTTTTCTGCTTAATATAAGCTTCTTTTTTGCTTAACCCAAGCCTTATTTGTCTTGTATCAAGAAAAAGTCAGTTTAAAGCAAGATAAAAAAATTTCTTGGCGGCAAATTCAAGAATCGCATCATGCTTGATCCAAGCTACTTTTTTTTCCAGTGTAGTACAAATAAATTAAATCGAAAGCCATTGTAGGAAGCACGCAATCCTATGAAGGTCTCTTTGATTTGATTCATTTGTGTATTTTTGTTCCTTTCAGTAAAAATGTGAGTGTAAACGACGTCTTCCTATCCTTGCGTTTAAGTCTCCCGTAAATACATTTGTGTTCTCTGGATTCGGTCTGTTTGTTTGATATCGATCTTTGTCATCCTATACTTGCGTTTAAGTCTCTTGCAAACACATCAGAATTTGGAGAAAATCTAATTCGACCTCTTTGGTTGTTATCACGCTCCCTCACCTTGACCTTGCAAATACATCAGAATTCTGGAAGAATCTAAATTTGGTCTCTTTGGTTGATGGCAATCTTCATCATCATAACCTTGCGTTTAAGACTCCAGCAAAAACATGGGAATTCGGAGAGAATCTCAATTCGTTCGCTTTGGTTCATAACAATCTCCGTCATTCTAACCTTGCGTTTAAGTCTCCCGCAAATACATTAAAAATAAGAGATAATCTAGATTCGGTCCCTTTGGTCAGGGATACATCAATCTCCACGGTCCCACCCTTGCTTCTCCAGCAAATTCAAAAGTTCATTTTTACACTAAATTGAATTTATTTGGAGACTTTTGAAGTTAAACCACAAAAATTCTGGTGTACCATACTTAAAATGTTACCTAAGTTAATCAGCTTTTTAAAGATGGACCTTAAAAAGTTAGGGATATTATCTCCCAAAAAGACAAGGTTCCTTTTTACAATGCCGGTCATAATTCTACTCACTTTTGTCATTAGTTGACTAAAACTAACGAAGTACGACGCTGTTGATGACCAGACCACTGAATGCAATTATTCGTGCTCAAGGGATGTCCGTATTGCATACCCAAAAATTGAAGGCGTTCCACTTTTTCTTCTCTCTCTGCGGTCTGCAGGCAAGCTGTTTGAATACAAATCAATCGTTAAATCAATCTTGAAATGCTAGACTGTTAGATTCCGTTATGGAAAGCAAAGAATGAGTGGAAATTTTGAAACACCGCAATCAATGTGCGCATTTCTCTAATTTCTTCTAGAAGTACAACCGAAAGATAACTGCAGCTCTCTTCGGATTGAAAGCAGCTGACGTGCTTTAAAGAGCTGGAACCTTAACCTTGTTGATGTTTAATTCATACTCTCTCTACCCGCGTATTTAATTAAGCTCGATCAAATTAAAATGAAAATTGACGCGCTCAGAAAAGTAGGAAGTAAACCGCTATCATCAGACCCATGGGTGAACAAATATCTAATTATACGTTTGTGGAGCAACCTGAAATACTCACGCTCCTGAAAGCGAGGTAGGCTCTGATTAAATATTATTCCCAAGACTTCTTACATTCCATAGACCTATTCATGGAGCTGTCGACGGATATTTATACATTCCTCGTCTTACATCCAGATCAATCCGCTTTGCGGTTGTTCCGATTCTCTGAGAACGTTTAGAGATGGTCGAGCAAATTGAACACAAGGGTTGTGGACGGAAAAATGTTAAGGGAGTCGATAGTACCACTAAAATGTCTTTCAACCTCTCGGAGAGCATTCTGATTGTGTAGTATCGGCTCTGAACGAAATGAGAACTATGGTTCAACTCCTCGGTCTATCAATACCCACTTGTGAAAAAGTGATTTTTTTCGGCTAACTTCTTTTTTACCTTCGAAAAGCTATTTTTGAAATGCCGTGTTCTCTATCAATTTTTTTTTCTTTTAGGAAAAACAGTATAACTTTTATAAATCATCAGAATTTCTTTAATGTATAAATGCGGCAAAATCTTAGTTCTCAAAACCTCACGTGAGGCATCTTTTGAGAGGCCGTCATTTGAAACCTTCGACACACAATTGGGGCACGTAACATTTTTCCTAACTTGGAGCTTATAAAAATTTAAAATCCTCCACTGAAGCTTTAGCGATTTCGATGTCAATTTTTTT